TCAGCGCGAACTATCGCATGTCCGCCATGTCCTGTCCAAAACCAGAAGTGACGTCATTTTGCAGAAATGTAGTTTTTTACCATCAGGGCCTTATGAGCTTATACTGGTGTTTTTAAAAGTTATGTTTGACTTTCTGTGTCGTTTCTGGGATGCTTAGGACTCATATTGCACTGCTGGAAATGGTTTATTTTGATGCATGCTGCTTTTTTGCAAATTTGCATTGTAAGATTTATTTTCGTTTTTCCTGCAGTGTATAAAAATTGGTGTATTTCAATAATAAAACTATGAAGAAGCTTAAAATAAATTTTCTGTGGTGGGAAACTATTTTGTGCAACTTTTTTGTATTTACAGTTTTGAGGGATAAGCCTCTTAAATTTCTCTAACTAGAAATATATGTTAAAAAAACAAAAACGATTTTACATTTTTTTTTGTAGTTTAAGATAAGATAAGATAAGATAACCTTTATTAGTCCCACACGTGGGAAATTTGTTTTGTCACAGCAGGAAGTGGACAGTGCAAAAGTTATGAGGCAAAAATTAGGATACAATAAGAATAAATACAGTACACAACTGTACAGAATAGAATAAAAAATACTATATACAGTAGAATAAAATAAAATAAATATACAATAAGATAAAAATAGAATACAAATACAAATACTATATACAACTGAGTAAAAATACAACGATGACAGAAAGGATTATTGCACTTAGTATTATTGCATATGTATGGATGTGTGTGCTTGATCAGTTAAAGTCTTTGTTGTGGAGTCTGACAGCAGTGGGGAGGAAAGACCTGCGAAATCTCTCCGTCCCACACCGTGGGTGCCGCAGTCTCCCACTGAAGGAGCTGCTCAGTGCTGTCACAGTCTGCTGCATGGGGTGGGAGATGTTGTCCAACAGGGATGACAGCTTAGCCGCCGTTCTCCTGTCACTCACCACCTCCACTGGGTCCAGAGGGCATCCTAGAACAGAGCTGGCCCTTCGGATCACCCTGTTCAGTCTCTTCCTGTCCCCAGCAGAGATGCTGGGGACAGGAAGACCACGCCATAAAAGATAGCAGAAGCCACCACAGAGTCATAGAAGGTCTTCAGGAGTGGGCCCTCCACTCCAAACGACCTGAGTCTCCGCAGCAGGTACAGCCTGCTCTGCCCTTTCCTGTAGAGGGCGTCTCAGTTATGAGTCCAGTCCAGTCTATTATTGCACCTTTTTGCAATTTATGTTATTACTATGCACTTAATGCATTCATATTAATAGAATTTGGGCTGTAATGGTTGTATTGATGTATATCAACTTGAAATGGTCCCAAAAATGGCACTACAACATGTAAAAATATAATATAAGCTCTGGCGCACTTGGTTCTATGTCTTAAATCTATGTAGTCTTAAAGGGTTAAGTGTAACGTGAAAGTACTAAATGTGTAGATTGTATTCATATTTCACTTTCACTTCCTGGCTTACCAGAGGTAATTGGCCCCATGCTTAAGTTTTATTCCTTCATCCATAGTCCCGCTGTGTTTAGAAGTCAAATCCTTCTCATGGCTGTGATTATACCTTCGACAGGGTACTAAGCTCTGAGCTGTGCCAGTTGGGCTTTTACTTACAGTAGATGTTAGTCGTGAATTATATGAATCTGCATCTTATCAGGTACGTTTAGCCGCATCGTTTGGATGATTAACAAATTAGTTTATACACTGAGACGCTTCGAGCCGTCCACATTCTTGAGGGAAACTCTTCTTTTGCTTTCATAGTAAGTAAACTTTACTTCCACAACTTCTTCTCAAGTCATCACAAGCAAACGATATCTCAACCTGTGAAAGAGTTCAAATGTGTGTTTGCGGATGTGCGCTCGCACGTGCGTGTGTGTGTCACTGAGGTCGGGGAGGTGTCGGCTGAATGTAATGTAGCGGTGCAACGTGTGATAGCACATTCCTGCTTGAGACGCTCACTCCGTGGTGCATTCGCACTCACTAATTAACAGAAATGAGCTAAAAAAGGAACGACAAGCAACGCACTGTGATGAGAAGCTTGGCAGGGACAAGCGACTGTGCTCCAATTACAGTGTTGTCACTGTTTTTTCTGCTCCGCACGCTCTCATTCTTCACCTGGTGTCAAACTAGTTGGAAGTTTTTATCATCAATGGGTTTTTTTTTCCACACCAGCTAATAAACAACTCAGTTTTACGGCCTTGAGATATTGTTTATTCCTGCTAAGTCTCCGTGAGCACATTTATTTGACCTTTATTTTTCCAGGAAAAGTCAAACAGACCTGTGTGTTCTTTCTCAGCGCAGTTCTCCTTCATATTCATGCAGTTACAGCTACATTCACACGCGGGAGCGCCACAGTGCGAACACGCTATCCTACTGTCGGCCACCGCGCAGCTCCGCGGGACAAATGGCCCCAAATCAAAAGAGTGAGGTCACCGCGGCACATCAGCGGCGCAGTGAAGGTCGAGTTCAGGTTTAATAAACATGGCAGCCGCCCGCTCCCTTTGTTTGGTGTTTCATTATGCTATCAAATATTGTGTTATTAGCGGCGTTCTCGTTTTATTTAATTCATTGCAGCTCCCCTGCTGATGTCTTTGATGGTGTATCCATTCACATTTCTCTTATTGAAATGTCTGCAGGAACCTAGAATACAGGTTAATGAAGTGCTACACTCCTTTAATGTTCCAGCACCAATCTGCACCACCTTTTTACAGACAGACAATACCATTCCTCTCAGTTTGAAGCTTTATTTCTCTTCAACAACCACACACCACATATCTCGTCCTGTTTTTGGCCCGATTCTTTTGCTAAAGAATAGAGGTACGAGTGCTGGATAATAAGCATAGACTATGTACAAAAGGTGATTGTTGCCAACATGTTGGCATCCATTGGTGTTTGTTCTGCTGATTTAAAGCCTTTAGTTTTGTGTTTTGGCTGTCACCATCCCGTTAGCTTTGAAACAAGTTTCAAATGGGTGCTAATTGTGACTTCCAAAAAGCAGGCTTACATGATTAAGCCCGATCGCTAAATGATTTTTAAAGAAATACTGATATTATGATACCTCTTTGATATTCATTTCTTTCACACACACAAAACATAAAGAGGTCTTCCTAACTGTTCTTATGTATAGTATTTACTCATTTATGCTCAAACCTGTGCCGAGTCTCCACTGGTGGACGAACTAAGCCTTGTTTTCAAACCCCTGTTTTGGTACCGTTCTCTGAAAAGGCTCATTTTTCAGGTACAGTTGGTCATTTTAACTTGTGACTCTTTTTCTGAGCCTGCTTAAACTGGACTTTTGAAGAATTGCAGTACTTTCAAACTGGTTTTATTTTTCAGCTTAAATTGCTGCTGGAGATTAACACAGATTTACCAGCTCTTGCTCTAGTCAACAGACTGGCTTTAACCTTGGTCAGATGTGACCAGTAGGGGTGGGTTTTAATAATCGATTCATCGATTAAAATCGATTCTGGCTTGGATAACGTGATATCGATTCATTAAAATCTATGTTTTTCCTTTTACTTACTTCCGAAAAGAAAACCTAATTTCTGCTGTTCAATAGGCTTCTGAACAAATTTAAACTTTTTAAAA